GATGAACCCTATCGAAAATGAATAAAATCGAAAAATATTTTAGGTTGTAAACACTCTAGAAGGCACAATTTTTGACAGGTTTGGATGAAACTTAGTGAATTGTTTATTGTCACTTATGAAAGAATCTCTATCAAAAATTCAAGAAATTTAAAATATTTAATATGAGTTATCGCCCTCTTTCTTTAAAACACAAGCAATTTCCTCGCAGACACTCTAATAGACACTAGTATTACTAAAGGATGAACTCAATGCACTCTAAAAGACACTGTTCTTGATGTATTTTGTAATAATTTTTGCTCAATGTGAGCTCAACTGAATTTAAAAAAAAATAAGCATAAATACCTGTAGCCTAATATTCAAAGACATAATAGGTTTTCATAGATTTTGTTAAAATCACTTTTCAAATAGATGTCATTGTCCTGAGAAATTTGATTATCAGATTACATATTAAAAGTAGAAATTATTTTAAAAAAACAAATCAGAAAAATAAATTTAATCATTTAACATGTCAGTATTAACCTACCATACATATTATGACATATAAGATCCTATAAATAGACTAATGGAAAACCCCAACAAGACAATTATCCAATCATAGCTCAGTAGGCATATATAGTAATGTGACATTCCAGCATGTTACTTTATTTTAGAAATTTAATTCAACAGAAAGGTTTGCTTATTCATTTAATTTTGCCTTGTAGTGTTAATACAAAAATGAAATTATATATGGTTTAATTATGTCATTAATAATGTCATTCAATATTGGTCAAGGGGGAAGGTTTCTTGGCATGTTGAACTGAGTTGCTGAATGATATTAGATTAGGCTACAATAAATTATGTCAGACTGCATTATTATGGTGGCTGTGTTTTACCAACTTGCCCACAGTACTTCTCAATATTATTCAAGATTTTGTGATATTACAAGCCCATTTTTAACTATAAAATGACAGTGATAACAACTTTTAATGCAAACATAATTATATTTTAATATTTTAGATTAAGTTTATTAAATATGCCAAGAACAAAGAAGCAAAGTAAATTATCCAGACGAAAGAAGCAGAAAGAGTTGATGTCTGCATTGAGAGAGAAAAGAGACATAAGTGATGACTCTAACCTCAATGCAGATTGTTTTCCTGATGTAATGGAAGAGATATCCATTGCAGATGATGGAAAGTCAAATGATAGAAATGTCGGGCTTTTTCCAGATGTAGTGGAAGAGATATCCAGTGCAGATGATGGAAATGTCAGCCCCACAAATGTGATGAATTCAGATGTATTGGAAGGAAATCCTTCTGTTACAGATGATAAAAAAATGGGTGAAAACTTGAAAAAATATTTTAAATTTGAAGAAAAGCAGACACAAGCGATTCGACTGAAAGGGTTAAATTCGGATCAAGAAAACAGTCGAAAGAGGTATTATAAAGAATGCAAAAATTTGAGAAGAGCTGATCCTGAATTCAGAGCAGCTGAAAGAAAAAGTGAAGTCTGTCATAAACAGACAAAACGAGCTGATCCCGAATTCAGAGCAGCTGAAAGAAAAAGTGAAGTCTGTCATAAACGGACAAAACGAGCTGAACCTGAATTCAAGTCAGCTGAAAATTTGAAAGGAACTCCTAACAAGGGGAGAAAAAGAAATGAAGATCCTGATTACAGAGATTTGAAGAAAGAGGTTGGAGCTCAAAGAGCCAAAAGAGCTGATCCTGCTGTAAGAAAAGCTGAAAGAGAAAGGGAAGTCTATGGTAAACAGCCTAAGAGAGCTGATCCTAAATTCAGAGCAGCTGAAAGAGAAAGGGAAGTCTATGGTAAACAGACTAAGAGAGCTGATCCTAAATTCAGAGCAGCTGAAAGAGAAATGGAAGTCTATGGTAAACAGACTAAGAGAGCTGATCCTAAATTCAGAGCAGCTGAAATAGAAAGAGAAGTCTATGATAAACAGACTAAGGGAGCTGATCCTAAATTCAGAGCAGCTGAAAGAGAAAGTGAAGTCTATGGTAAACAGACTAAGAGAGCTGATCCTGAATTCAGAGCAGCTGAAAATTTTAAAGGAACTCCCAACAAGAGGAGAAAAAGAATTGAAAATCCTGATTACAGAGATATGAAGAAAGAGGTTGGTGCTAAAAGAGCTGATCCTGATTTCAGGGAAGCTGAAAGAAAAGACGAAAATGTGTCAAAACTGTTTCGAAGACAGAATAAAGAAATGTCATCAACTGATGAATTAATTGCTGAATTTAATAAAAAATATTGAAAATGGGCCTACTTATGTATGTGTGTCTTGTCACCAATTGGACATAGTGTAAAAGCATGCCTTAGTATGCGTAATTCAAATGAAACAGCAGAGCTTTGTTTAAAGAATGATGGATGGGTATGTGGTACATGTGAAAGGTACATAAAGAAAAACAAAATTCCACCCTGTTCGATTGAAAATGGAATGAATTTTCCAGATAAACCGAACAATCTGGAATTATACCCTTCAGAATGGAGACTTTTGTCTCCAAGAATACCTTTCATGAAGGTATATGCTGCTCCCAGGGGAAAACAAGAAAATTCGTGGAAATGTTGTTAATGTGCCTGCTAATGTCACTACAACTGTCCGAATGCTGCCTAGAGCAACAGATGACACAATGACAATTGCAGCTCAGTTGAAAAGACAATTGAAATACAATCATGCTGTGATAACTGAAAACATTCGGCCCTACAAAATCAGAGAGGCTGCCGAGTGGCTTCAGGAACATGGAACTTTGTATAAAACAGAAGGCATTTGCTTTGAAGAAAATTGGAATCAGGATCTTGAAAATCAAGACAATGGAAAAGTCTTGAATGATTCTGAATTTGACGCGATTCCAGTAGTCGTAGACTCTGATGTCAAAAAAGATGATGGAAATGATGAGAATTCTCTAGCACAGTCTGATGAAGATAACTGGAGTGAAGATGAAGGTGATGTAGAAGTTGCGAGCTCTAAAGACACACTTATTACATCACCTGACTTTAATGAGAATGGTGAGAAAGAGAGAGTTCATAATTTTGCTCCAGGAGAAGGTAACTTTCCCTTGAGTAAATTTATGGACAAAAACTCTGAAGAACTTGCATTTCCAAACATTTTCTTTGGGAAAGGTCGAACTATAATTTCTGATAGACCTACTAAAGTTTATTACAGTGAAATTTGTAAATCAGAATTGAGAAGAGATGATCGGAGGGCAGCCAATTGCATTGACAACATTTTTTTTAAGTTAAAAAAGTTGCAAATGAAAACATTGCTTGGCAGTGCTCAAATTGCCCTTCGAAAAAACAAAACTGATAGACGGAAAATAATAGTTGGTGATTTAAAAAAGACATTTGTTACGGATTCTTGGTAGGGTGCAAGATAACAAAGAATATACTAATGATGAAATTGATAACATGGATTGGGAAACGAAAAGTAGATTGGTGTCTTCGGACCCTGTAACTTGTACTAGGCAATTTGACTTCCAGGTCAAACTGCTTTTTATAGATGTTCTAAAGAAAGAAAACTCACCTATTGGAAAAGTCACAGACTATTTTTATAGAGTCGAGTTCCAACACAGAG